CTGATTCTGAGAAATAGTTTAATTATAGATTATTACTTTCGACTAAATAATATAATTTATTTTTTTAGAATATGATCGAAGTGATATAATAATTATTTTTTTCCGACATTAATTAATAATATATTTACTCGCTACAATGCATGTAGGCGTGTATGAAATAAGAAAATGCGATATAGATGCAAAAAAGAAGCGATAGCGAACTTAGGTAGCAAATCGTAAAAGAAAGGCATCTAAATATACAACTAAAAGTGAAGGTAACTGCGTAATTATATTATATAATATTGGCAGAAGCCTTCATTTTTCAAGATATGTTCTCGGGAATAGTGAAAGCATCTAGACGTGAATAAATGTATTCTTGAAGTAAAGTAACTTATTTTCTGGCTTCGAGTGATGCAATCACGAGAAAGCAGTATTGTGACCTCAAGAATAGCATTAGGAAGGTATGCTAATTGACTTTTATTACATTTAGTTTTATAGTATAGTCTTCTTAAGGGCAGTTTTCGCCTTTTAAGGCAGGCCTGGGATTCGACTGTTCCCTCCCCATTGTTACTATTATTGAGGACGTGATCATCAAATCATGATTGTTTTGTTGCGAAGAGAGGAAGACCGAACAAGCTTCCCGTTTAACGCTGAGCTACAAGATGAGAAGTAATTCGAATGTATCTACCTCAAAACATTTTTAACTTAATAAAATATATCATCTCATGAGACATTTTCTGAATATGTATTCTTTAGCATAAAACCCAATCAGAAACCTGCCAGTTGACTGAAGATGAGGCTCGTGAATATATCCACACCCGATGAATATCTGAAGATAGCCAAAAACAAAAAATATATAAGTAATTGTTAATATACACTTCATAGATTTTTATTTCACATTGGCACCCCTGTCTTCTCGCAATTTTTGCTTGAGAACCTGAGCCAGAAAGTAGGTGGCTACTTTGAAATGAAGCCTTCTGCCAATATTTATATAATAGATTACGCAGAAGGCTTCATCTTAAAAGTATGTACCTAGTCAGAATAAAATCATGAGAAGGCAGTATTGTGATCTCAAGAATAGCATTAGGAAAACGGTGGACAACTAATGTGTGCACTTGTATTTGTGGCTCCTTTTCGGAGTACACATCGTGTGCAAACTACTATCAGTTATAGATGTGTCAAAGGTAATCAATTTTTGCATCTCTGAGCTTGCGAGAAAAAAGTTTGCGAACAAACAAATCATCTTGGTTGTGGTCCATCTTACATATGTCACTCCAATTTCAGGGTTGTGTCCCAGCCCAGTCTAATCGCTAATGGATCATCAATTGGTTTAGTGAAATCAAAAACAACAAAATTCTGATTCCGCAGATGCTTGTCAATAATTTTGGATGCCCTTTTCGGATCATCCGTATATTGGCGCACAACTCTACATATGTTTTCTCTAGATACACTCCCTTGGAACATTACTAAATGGGAAATATTTTCACGAATTATCTTTAGAACAGCCTGATATTTCTGAGTTACGTATATTGGTGAGATGTTTTGGTGCTGACCACTAATAAAGTAAGGAACGATGCGCTCTTGTATTTTTTTTGATTCGGCACAGAGATCTTCAAAAACAATAACAGTACTTCTTTTTGGAGAGAACTTACTTATATCTGGAATTTTTTCCGCCTTTATTGTTTGAAATGAGATATTCTCCTGATATGGCTCAGGGCTATTAGCAAAAATATGGATAGCATTTTTTATCAGCTCCCATTTTGGCTCGGCATGCTTTCCAACTAAAACGAGATCATCATTTTTAATATATCTATTACCCTTCTTGCCTTTAAACATGCGCTAAAGTTTATTGCCTAGAATAAGGTTTATAACCATATTAGTTTTCCCACTATGTAAACCCCCAGTGACTACCATATGAAAAGGCCAGTCTGGAGAATATTTATTGCCTTTCATTCGCTCCAAAGATTTTCTGAGGATTTCGTCGACATTATACACAAAGAATTCCATATAGTATTATACATCAAAATTAATTTTTTAGTAAATTTCAGCCAGCCCGCCAAGAAAAATCAACCATCAACCAGTTTACGGTCTCGATAAAATACTAAGAAGAAAATGCTTCCCAACCTAGCTTGAAGAATTACTTAAGAATTCTTTCTCAATTAATGTATACCATATATAGGGGAAAAGGTCACACGTATAAGGCACTAAGATAAGATATATACCTTCTTTTTTACATATATCTTGCTTTTTTGATCTCGGGATTTCTGTTTATCCAAATCTATTTCTCCTCTTTTATGAAACATCAAATTTAAACTATAGTGTTGGGGTTCCTGAAATTCGAACGCTAGACACAATTTCTCGTTATACCCATCGAGATGCATTCCATCCAAAAATTTAGACCTACATGGTGGAAATTTCTTATCTAAAAGATCCTCAAAAATATATCGTACGGTCCTTTCACTAGTATAGTGGCATAAGGGGCACCATTTGAATTTTTTCATAATATATTTTAATGGATACTCTCATTGATGCGCACCATTCTCACAAGACCAGAGATAGATATCATGCCTATGTATCTGGCCAGTTTTTCCAAGGCATTGGCCACCATGCTTCTCTGTGTAAATCTGGGCTTGAGTTATCTCGTTATTGGTGGGGGAAGCATATGCAATATGTACAGATAATATTCTTTGAGGGGGGTACTCAACTTTTTCTGGATCAGCTATTAACATGAGTTTCTCTCTTATGAATCCCCGCTTTGGTGAAAACTCATCACCTTTGAGATAATATAAGACAAGCTCATTTTTAGAAACCACAATTTTTCGGATCTTATAAATAGAAGGCGAAAATGTGGGGTCAGTGCTTCTGCGAACCGCTTCCATACCACCTTCCCATTCAGCATTAGCAAGAAGGTAGCGAACTGAATCATCTTTATTTAACATTACTTCACCCTTTCCAATGGCTCGCTTTTTGGAAACCGATGGTCTGGACTCAACCTTCTCCAATAAAATAGCCTCTGAAGGTGCTAACCCCCATTTCGAAGAACCCGGTTCTCTGATAAGGCATGTGGGATAACTGTTTAGATAATCGACAACTTTTGGTAAATGTCTAACCCATGCTCTTATTAATCTTGGTTCAGAAGATATAGACTCAACAGCATACTGAATCTTATAGAGCATGAACCCTTCCATCTTATTAAAACATTCCACCATTGCAAGACCTTTATGGCTATAGGGCCCTATTATTCGAATTGTAACACCATGTTCTTGCATCAACCAGGACGTTTCAGATATCTATTCTCTTTCATTATCTGTTTGAAGTAACTTAGGATAGGTAAGAGGATTATTGGGGTCATCATATACTTTCCTAAATGCTTTAATAACTTCTGAACTTTTTTTTGAAGTAAGCGGAACTGATGCTTTATATCGGGAAGCGCAGTCTATTATATTAAGTACTGCTTTATATATTTTTCTCTTATATTTATCATGCGTAAGAAATAATATATCGGCTTGATGCACACAATTTGGTCGTGTTATTTTCCCATAACTGACTCTAGGAATATGTCTAGGTGGGGGCATATAGATTTGGTATGATTGCTGATGTTTCAGCCAATTTTTTACATCTTTTAAGTTGAATTGATGACCCTCTTTTTTACATGCATCTCTTAAGGATTTAGGATTGGAATAATACCCAGTCGGGCGATAATATATATCACGCAATATGAGATTTTTTTTGATTCTTTGGGCCTCATCTGGATCGATATAGATAACTAGTTTTCCCATTACTTTATTTGACAATAGTAAATAAAAAATATGGAGGAATTACAACAGAGTAATCAAGAACTCCACGAGGTAGTATCCTAATTAGCAGAATTAAATAGGAATTTCGAACAACGATTATATACCTTAGAAAGAGTTATTGGTATACGGGAAGAAAGAATTCGATTTCTTGAAGAAGAGTTAAATAACGCTATCGAACTTTCTAGGCAAGACAAAGAAGAATTGACAGAAGAAATTTTAAAATTAAAACGAATTGTCTGACAGCTTGAAGAAGAAAATAAAAAGAAAGACAAAGAAATTTCAAATAAGGATAAATTGATATTAGAATTTGATGAACGCGAAACAAAATTAAAAACCCGAATACGAGAGATATCTAAATCAGCCGGAAATACGCCTAAAGCACAAGATTATACAACCAGATTAGTGGACAAGAATGAACGGCTTAAACGAGAAATAAATACGGTAAGAACTAATCAAATAAATAGGATTAACAAAATAACCCAACAAAAAAACCGTATTACAGACCTGCTTTGTCAAAATTTTGCATTAGCATTATTAAGATATCGAGATAGATTAGAACTTAGAAATATACAAGAGGCTTTACAAAATGCACAGGCATAGAATTTTGGCGAAAATGAATCTGATTCTGATGAAAATTCTCTAGACTTGTATAATTCTGATGATAATATGGCCACAATAGCCGAGTTGGCTAATGCAATAGACCGATCCCTAAATGATACAACAATATGTAGAACCATTTTAACAAATCAAATTAAAAGATCAACAAGATCAATCCGATGTAAATATGCTAACCTGCAACAAGAACTGGTGAATGAACAATGGAACCGTGATATATATAGGCAGGAGTGCGATCAAGCAGTGCAAGAGCGTGATCAGTTACAGACCAATGCTCAGAATCAAGTAAACAGAATGATAAATAATATAGCAAGAAAGCAGACCCATATTGGTGAATTGCTGAGAGAAAAGCTAGCCCTTCAGCTAATATATCAAAGGTGCAAAGCTGAGGTTGACTTGACAGAATTCAATCGAGCCTGGGTATTTAATCAGTATCAAAAATGGAAGGCTCGGGAAATTAATTCTCGCCAGAATATTTTAAATTTAAATCAACAAATTTTTGCACTACAGAATAACCCACCTAATATACAACGAATAGGGATGGTAGGATACGGACCCCCAATATTTCATGGTCGTCCTGGAGAAGATCCAGAGGATTGGCTCAGAGAGATGCAAAAATATATAGTAGCTAGTCGAATAAATGTTGCACCTGGTGCAGGTCAGGTCGCCGGAAGAGAAGAGGCATATGGATTGGTAATATCATGTCTTGCAGGCCCTGCATTGAATTGGTATAATACCCGCATTAAGGGTAAAAATTGGAGATGTAATAATCTCTCAGATAACTTAGGTGTAGCTACTTTAACTGCTGTTCGAACAATTGGTGCTGGAAATGGTGGTAATCAGATTGGTGGTTTGAATACTGCAGGAGAATTTCGTAACAAAGCTAGAGCAGAAATTGGTAGAATTGGAGCAGGTATCACAACAGGTGCTGACATTATTCCGAATGGAACATGGGATGAAGACTGGTCTATAGCCGGTGGTGAACCTACAGATAATGCACCAGTAGCACCAAATGCTGGCAGAGGGTTTCCTGCTATTACAATTGCTCCCGGTATTAAGCAACTCCTTTATCTATTTAGTACTGCTTATACGACGGTTGAACACTTAAAACAAATGGCAGTTTTTGGTCAACTCATGCAGGAGGATATAGGTGTTGAAGAGTTCTCCACTCGAATCAAAAAGGTTGGTAAATTGGCTGGAATGACACCCGAACAACAAAGAGAGCAATTTATTTGTGGCTTAAATCCTATGAACCAATATAATATTCGAATGATGGCTAAATTTGAGGATACTCAGGAAAATATCACAAGAGCCTTAGCTGAAGCAGAAAAATTTACACTTTCTCAAAGAAATGCACCATCTTCTCTTCCTGTTTTTCCGGCAGCCAACCCCTACATAGACACTAACAAATTGGGAATGACTAAAACTGAAATCGTGGATTTGATAAAAACCGCAATGACATTCTCAGAATCTCAAACAGCTCAACAAAATGCTGATTTGCAGTCTACCATTAAATCCTTGCAAGAGACTATGTCTCGAGCGACTAAAACTCTAGATAATAGTAAAAAATCATCTAAGAAGAGAGCAAAAGATAATGCCATTAATCGCTTTTTGAGTGACTTACTAAGAAAAAATTCAGGTAAACACCCTGCTGATGAATATGATCATGATTCTATAGAAGATATTTCAGATAGTTTAGCAGGATTAACATTAAATAGTGTCATAAAAACTGCTGTTAAACGTGCTGTTAAGAAATCAACAGGTCACAAATGCTCTACCTGCGGAAGATCTGGACATAATTCCCAAAACTGCCTTCGAAAGAAAAAGAAAAGCAGGAAGTCTAAAAAGGGTAAAGTTAATCTCGCTACTGTAGATCCAGATTCGGGTTCAAGTTCTTTCTCCGATACTTATTCTAGTGATAGTTCTGACTCTGATACAAGTTTAGAGGATTCCTCTGATTCTGGAGATAATATCACTGTTAACATAGCTAAGTCAAAAAAAAAGTGAAGCAAGACTCTAGTTCCAAGAAATCGTCTCTTAAAAAGACATCTAAAACTTCATTAGAGGAAACTATTCGTAAAGTCCTCCAAAGTGAACTTAAATTAATTTTTCCTGATTATTTTTCCCAAGACTCTATTAAAGCTAATATACCGAATCAAGCGCCTCTAATCCAGGAAAAGATAGAATCTCAAAGCAATACTTCTCTAATTACCAAGGTTGTATCACTAGATCCAGATGAGGAAGAAGATTTGGATGGTCTGATGGAGATTGATTTCGTTAAGAAGAAGGAGCCAAAAACAAGTGTTGAGACCGTAAAGTGTAAAATCAAGCGTTTAAAGATTCCAGCTATGACAGTCGACTCTGGGGCTGAGCTTCCTATTATAACAGAAAATATTGTTGAACGTGTAGGGGCTAAAATTAATAAATCCGAAACACACGATCTTAGTAGTATTGCCACTATTCCGGTTGAATCTGTTGGGGTTGTTTACAAATTACCCATTACTTTAGCCCCAGGCTGTACTATCCATGAAGATTTTATTGTAAAATATCAGAAGCCGACGTTAATATTTTCTAATCAGCTTTTGAAAAAATACAATTGCACATTGGATTGGAAAACCAATGAGCTAAAAATTCCTCTTAATGGAAAAGATTATATTATTCCAGTCACTATGCATAAAGTTAAGAACAAGCTTGAGGTAAATTGTGCAAACATAACTCTGGATTGTGACGATTTCTCGACTCAGAATAACATATCACAGGACTCACAGGAGTTGAGTAGATATGATAATGTATTAAAAAAAAACGCATGAGCTATGAGGAGCTTGAAAAAATATTGTATGATACTCTCATTTCCAAAGCTAAATTAATTGAGATTAATAAAAACCTCCGATCTCTTTTTCCCTATTAACTAAATATTCTAGCTTAGAGAATTATTTTTACTGAATATGTTGAAAAGGTGAGTTGAGAGCAAAGAGCTTTTCTGATTCATGTATAGATTCTTCTGATTCTATACGATCTTTTTTAATTGAAGCAATTAAATCGTGTGAGATATCTAATAAGGAGTTTTGGCAGGGACCCACTGCCAAAATTTCAGGTAAGTCAGAATTTCGAATGGATCCGAACTTTAACAGTTTCTTTTTCTTTTTTTGCTTTTCTTGCACATTCATCTCAGCGGATAATGGTCCCAGAGGGACCCCCATGATCTCAGATGATTCTTTCAAAGTTGACCTCTCAGGCACTTTGCAAGGTGGTTTAGCATGAACTTCTGAATCATTCCCCGAAGAGATAGATTGTGCTTTTCTAAGCTCCTCATAAAAGTGGTTTGTGTTTTGCTGAAAATGCTCACAATCGTTCTATATATCGTGAACACAATTTTTGTTAATATGATACTCCTTTACTATCATATATGCCGGAACTTTATTTTTAAGATGTCTAATCTTTTCGATCTGCTTAGGTGTTAAAATATTAGCACTCCGCCAATAATGAGTTTTTAAAATTAAGGTAGACATACTCCCCGAATATTTTTTAGATGATGTATTTAGATGCATAAAAAATATTAGGTATTAATATTTATCGTTTTAAAAGGATAATAAAAATTAGAATTCAAAATTTATTATTTTAGGATGAGAGGAGACATTAGAAAGCATAATTTATTGTTTTAGATGGGTAGAATACATTCTAATACGCTATCTAAAATAATAATAAAACAATCGATAACCTTCGTGTTCATTTTTTATTTATTGCGATTATTCTCTAACATAAAATTTAAAAGTTTTTTTTTACATGTTTATGGCTAATGTAAATAAATGAGAACATATGGTCTTGAAAAAGAGATACGTTGCATCTTACAAGACTCATCCAAGATACGAGATTATAATGCTAAGTTGCAAAACGAATACATGAAGATTAATGATGAGGCCAGATGGTTGAAGGTTGAAAATTTTAAACTTTTTTCTCAATATGCTTGTGCGGAGACATCTCTCGCCAAATATAAAGCTGAATATCATGCAAAATCGGAGGAAGTGAAATCACTTCAATCTGTAATTAATTCATTCTCTCCAGGATACTTTGATAAGAATAATCAGCCGGATGGTCCTGAGAGAACTGATTCATATGCAAAAAGTGGTGGCGAAAAAAATAATGAGCCAGAGAGCTCTAGCGCTTCTTCAGAACAAATCATACCTGCTACTATTTGCAAAGAAAAGATTTCATTAGGTGGCTCGGGGAACTCTATCGATATAGACAAATTGCTATTATTAGTGCTCACCTGCTCGATATTGCTTTTTCTATTAATCGTAATTATATGGTTAGTCATTGTGAAAAAGCTATGGAATTTGGAGAGCATCATGCCAAAAGAAAAAGTCAGATACTCTGCCTACAAAAAATATATAAATATAGAAGAGGTACCAAAGGTACTGGATAGGCTGGGGATATATAACACCTAATTATCTACCATATGAGTACTGGCGCTAGTGGGACTATTAAAAGATGGATTTCACTAGGTTCGAAGCCTATGTATTGAGAAAGTTGGTCGCGCAATTCTGCCATTATACTATGAAAGCATATATTTAAATTACCAACCTTTTTTCTTATATATCTGGATGTTGGATCGGAGACCGGGCTATGTGATCAGAGGACCAGGCCGGAAGAGGTCATCTCGTGACCAGATCTAATATTGAAATTGGAGTTAGCTGGTATTATTGCACAAAAAAAATATATAAATAATATTGTAAGTTTTCTTAGCTAAAATTCTCACATCCTGCTAAGAGTACTTAATAATATAATTCAATGATCTCATCTATATCCGCTTTGGACGAATTATCTTTTTTATCACCCTGTAACTTCGATGACACTCGATAGCGTGTGATTTCTAGGCCAACCACTTTGTACCATGTGTTCTGCAAATCAGCTAATATTTCATATCCATTTTTTTGAATATATGTTAACATATATTTTTCTAAGATCATAGCTTTAGATTTGTGCTTACCGGCCTTAGTAACTAATTTATACATTTTTTTTCTGCTCCCTATATTGTCTTGGGAAATTTCTGCAAGTAATGACGTTAGCTTTATGCGAATTGATTTCTCCTGCTTATCTAATGCGCTGAGAAAGGAAGACCAATAAGCATTATTTCCTGAGCATTTTACTATTTTATTAGCATAAGTGGTATTATATAAATTTTTCGTATAAGTATGTGCTTCTTTCCATAGATGGGATATGATAGTCTCATCTTTTTTTAGACCTTCATGAAGGTTTTTGATATAGCCTCTAACCCACTTTTCAGCCGATTTCTGCGCTAAGGTATCTTTCCTTTTTGATATCTCATCTTCATCCACTTCGTCTTCATCTACTTCATCTTCATTCACATTATCTTCATCCGCTTCATCCCCATCTGCTTTATTATCCCCGTTTAACTTTAAGGCTTCTAGCAAAGTTTTAGATGATGGCTGATGTCTATCATCATAATTTATAAAATGTGCACAGAGCCCGACAACACTTTTCAGATAATAGTTAATATCGATCTTTTTTCCAAGACGTCTTGTCACTTCTAGGTACTCCATTTTGTCACCTACCTTCTGTGATAAATCATTCTCAACTACAACATATTCAAAGCGCTCTTCTAGTTTTGGGATTTCATAAAGATAAGGCTCGGGTGTTAGACCCTTTTTTATAAGCCATTTGGTATCTGCTTCTTTTCGGGTATGTCTATCTCGCATTCGTGAAATGAAATGCTTTACACTCTTGTTATTTTTATCAGGCTTCTACACAGCAGTTTTAACTAATTTATTAAGATCAGTTTGAGAAATATTCTTAACAGTCTCCTTGAGAACATCCTCTACAATTTGATGCAAAGTGCGTGTATTATTCACTTTCATAGATTCATCCATAATACGCTTTCCTATTTTGCGGAAAAGATTAGACTGCCCCCGCTTCTCTGTATCCACCCCTCTAATAAAAAGCTTTTTTGGCTTAAAAT